TAATATGTCCACTTCCTTAGGAAAATTAAAATTTGGATCAGCTAATTCAATGTTATTTGGAATCTTTTTAATAATGGCTTCTTCTGCCTGCAATTTGGTTATTAATTCCTGCGCTATTAGTACTTCCAGATTTGTTTCGAAATTACTCATATGCATTCTGGACTTAATTTTTATATTTACTTGTTCTTCAATTTTTGATTGTGTTTTGCCAACACCTTCTATCGCTGCTGATTTAATTGCTTCGCCTTTAAGTCTTAATTCCTTTAGGAACGATTTTGACATCAAATTTACTTGAGAGCCGCTATCAAGAAGCGCTCTGCCTTTGATCCATTTGCCTTTTGCATCTTGGATATAAACAACCGCTGTAGCTAACAAAATGCATTTTTCTGAATTTTCGCATCCTAGCTTAATGGTACTTTTTGTAATTGCACCTTTTTCATTACTAACTTTGTGTAAGAATGTGCTATGACCATCATTACATATAAGACAATTATACCCATTGCAATTTTTACACGAATGTCCACTCTTTAAACATTTCGAGCAGAAGTTATTTTTTCTTTAATGGTAAGGTCTTTAAATTTTGTGCATTGAAAAAGGAAACGTCGATTACTACATGCCATGATGCATTCGATTTCCTTTCTGTTTGCCAGTTCTTTAATGTGGTCATCCCATTTGGATGACCCATCCTTTTTTGATGATTTTTGTGCTGCTTGCAGTGCATAAAACTCATGATTTAAAAATTTCTCGTGACTTCTGATGTGAAGTTTCATACATCAATCTTAAATCATTACTCATTTTTCGTACTAAAATGAAACTTAAAAGGCCTTGCAGTATACTTTCAGAACTTAATTTTGTTGCTTTTACAGCTTGCAAATTTTCCTCAATCACTTCTATCAATCTTTTTACACTTTCTAGATTTTCAGTCGTATGAGGTGCCCCCATTATGTTCGAAAAATGTATGGCAGTTTGCGCTCTCAAGTTGGTATATTTATTATCCAAGAGGTTCCACGCAATTGGATAGTTTTCTGCATTTGCTGGTAGGTTCGCGATCGTCATTGCTGCTTCCCCTCTTAGCTTTGATTTCAAACAAATCATTTTCTGTGTATCCGAGATACTGGCTGAACCTATTATTTGAGAAAACAATTCTCTAAACGTGTTCCACTGAATATAGTCTCCAGAGAATACCGGAATATCTATTTTTGGCAGTGCTGTTTTTTATCTTCAGGAGCGAAGTCCAAAGCCTCATCGAGATTAAAACTTACGTTTTGAAATAAATCTTCTAAACTATTCTCGTCACATCCTATGTAATTGCGATACATCATTTTAGCTTCTTTGGCACTTTCCAGAAGGAAGACTATTGGAATCTTATTTCCCAAAAATTTGTCAATAGTCTTGCTAAGATCTTCTAGCACGAACTTAAATTGCCGTTCTGATTTTGAAATCAAGGAAGCTGTAGCGATTGAACCTAATGTGTGACTAGATGTAGGTGGCTGAGGTGCTGGTGGTGAGACTATCACTCCCGTTGCTTGCAAACTATGCTTTAGATTCCATCTCCACGGTCACAATCAGAGTTGAGGTATTATTGAAAAATTCTCTAATTTGCTCTGCATGCTTTTCTTTAAAATAAGGGTTTCTTTTTAGGGTTGAAGAGGCCTCTTTGAGGATACACTCGTTCTCCTCAAATTGCTGAGACAGATCGGTTACTACACGCCTCCAACGTTGGATCTGTGCCTCTTCAATATTTTGTCCCCTAAAATTTTTTATTTCCTGATACAGAGCAGAGATTCTGCTTGCAATGGTTTGATTTTCGTTAAGCGCAGAATCCAGTGCTTTTACTTTTTTTTATTAAGCTTTTAATGCACACAAAAAACTTTATAGGTAAAAAACTAAAAGTATATATATATGTATATATTAATACTTACCAATACTCTTATACGGCCAAACTTAAAAAAAAATGTACACTGTTCAAAAAAACTCAGTTAAGGCCACCAACTATTAACGCGGGGGTTTGGTAGATAACCGACGCTCTGGTGTCCCAGAGCCTTTATTTATAACAAAAACTCTTAACCTACACATACACAATTATTACCCTAACCATAGTATATCTAAAACATGTGTGTTGCACTACACATGTAGTAGGTATGTATAACTTATCTAGAAAAACACTTAAACCGACAGTGCCAGGAAGTAATAAAAATAGTATACGGTTTCATTTGCATTTTAAGCCAATCGCATTTCATAACATTTAAGAAATACATACGTAACTATTCCCATACACCCTGGCATTGAATTCTAATGTCTATAATTGCCAACTAAACAACCCTTACTGGTCGTCTCCATAGGATAAAATTTATTGCAGTCCAGCTGTCATTTTGGTCGCTAGATATAAATTATATCAGTGGCAATATTTGTGTGGGCTTTTTATATCTTGATATAAGCATCTGTGAGATAGCTTCTAAAAAAGAATTTTTGCCGGATTTAATCACTTAAAAAATTTAGAAAATAGGCTATTTTACATCCAATTACATAATAACAATATACTTTCCATTTCCAGATAACCGGTCAGGTACGAGCATGATTATTAATTTCGACCAAACTCAAATACATTGTTTGTTGGTCCAAATAATGAGACACATATTTTTTCTTTTGGCTCGGAAAAATTTTTCGGCCGAATTAAACGCGATTTTGTTTTTCAGGCAAAAATCGATTATTCGAATTGACAGTGAGAATTACAAAATCACATTTTTCCGCTTTTTATAATCGAAACTGTATGGTGGAAAGTGTATTCTAATATCTATTTGATACACAAAAAATTATCACGGCTGTACTTTTTGCTGATATATTACATACATATGTTCCATTTAGTTAAACAATATAAGAATATTGTAGTATGTACCACAAAAACGTATATTTTCTATAAAAAATCATAACTCAGAAAAAAAAATCTTCGCTATTAGAGATTTGGGTTGATTGTAGTTCAAAGTGTCTCTTTCCCGGTAAAAAAGTTTGAGAGAAAAAAAATACACTTTTTGAGAAATTAAATTAAAAAAAAAAATGCACTTTTTGTTTTCTGTTAAATAAAAAATTTTAAATAATGAAAATCAATAATTATATGATTCTTTCTTGAAGTGACAAGAATTACTGACATTTGAGTAAAAACCTTGTTGGAATCTATTAAATTTTGACAAAGTTATGGGCATTTTAGAAGAAAATTCTCACTGTCAATTCGAATAATCGATTTTTGCCTGCAAAACAAAATCGCGTTTAATTCGGCCGAAAAATTTTTCCGAGCAAAAAGAAAAAATGCGTGTCTCGTTATTTGAACCAACAAACAATGTATTTGAGTTTGGTCGAAATTAAAAATCATGCTCGTACCTGACCGGTTGTCTGGAAATGGAAGGCATCACAAATATTTTAACCGAAAACAGTTCAATATTTGCTTTTATATTAAAATATCAATAATGTTGCCCCCACGAAGTTTTCATGCAAATGAACATGTAGGTGTCAAACTACCAAATTGCCGGCAATAGATGGCAAGATATAAGCTCTGATATATATTGCTCTTGAAGAGCAATGAGCGGTCTCCATTGGCTATTTATATTCTAACATATGTATCAAGATATAAAATGTATCCTGGGGAGACGGGCAGTTAGGTCATGTTGTGCGCATGTGCACTATGTATGTATGTGTACAATGCCGTTGCACGTGCGCACAATTGCTACCCTGCAGTAAAATTTAGAGACAGTCTCTTAAAGCGCTAGTTCCACTCTACACATTTCAGAACCATCTCTGAACTAGTGCAAAACGGCTGCAGAGAGGGACAGTTGAAACTCTCGGTGTGTTAGTTGCGCTCTGTTGAGAAGTAAATGCACAAATTCTCACTTCTCGTACAATACGAAAATAGCTCAGAGGGAAGACCTCCGACTCTAATATCGTTGGTCACGAGTTCAAATCGCGGAGGAGGCAGTTGTGATTTTCAGATTTAAGACACTTAAATTGTTGAGTGTCGCTTAAAAATTGAAGTGAAAGTGATCAAATAATATAAAAAAAATACAAAAAAAAATAAAAAAAGTTTAATAAAAAGCAATCTGTAAAAGAACAGAAAAAACGAAAAAATATCAAAAAATGGAATAATCAGATTTTTTTTAATAAAAAACTTATTGTCGCAGATCTGTCTAAAATGGAACCAGTTTAGAATAGAAAAATAATCTAATAATTGAGTTTTAAAATTTTTTCTCATAGAAAAATTGACTGCCCCAGAACTGTCCAAAATGGAACCAGTTTAGAACTAGTTCGAAAGTTCTGCAGAGGGGGGCAATTTCCACTTCGTAGGACATTGCCATGTAAAAAGAGACAGTTGAAAGCATTGCGTTGGGATAGATCGAGAACCAGTACCGCCTCTTAAAGGGCTAGTTCTGCGCTAGTCCTGAACTAGCGCGATTTACTGCAGGGTACTTTCTAATAATCTACTTATCGGCCTTACAATCGTTACCACATGCTGAGGTCATGCGCATCTTAAATGTGTGCCCTATGAGTGTGCGTAACTAATCTTAAGACTTGTGCAACAAGACTTAACAACCTTAGTTCAAGGGAATCAGGTAATTGAAACATATATCACAATATGGGTGTCAGAGGAAAGTGCTTTAAGAAGGTTTCGGTTTGAAAATATTTTGAAGGGGTTTAAAAAGAATAAAAATGTGAAAATCTCCTATGTGTTTACCTTAGTTTAAATATGTTCAGTTTTATTGATATAAATTACTGTTAATATAACACGTAAAAATTTCATACACCCAGCGAAGCGGGTGAGTCAACAAAACTGTGTCAATAGTAACAAAATTTTGCAAATTCTATTTTATATAACTTATGTATGACTTTATTTAATGTAATTTATTATTTTCGAAAGAAAATCAGAGTAGCATATACATTTTTAATTTTCTAACTCTGCGTGATAACCACAAATAGCATCCTCAATTTATATATTGCATTATTTATATTTTCAGCTATGATCTCATACAATGTCGTTGTGGGCGACACTTTGTCCAAGGTACTGGTTCGCTTCTTTCCATCATGGGGTACATCAATGGGCGTAGTTCGGCTAGGAGTTGTGTTCTTTGTTACAGTTGGCGTCGTAGCTCCCCTATGCCTTTATAAAAACGTTTCCCGATTAGCTCGGGCGAGTTTTATAAGTTTGGCATGCGTAGTCTTTATTTTGTTTGCCGTCATAGTAAAACTGTTATCGGGGGAATACACTGTGTAAGTATATTTAGTATGTAATATACGACTTTTCACACTTTTGTAAACAGTATATATAGATATAGGTAGTATATCGCTATACAAAATTATAATTTCACATCATTTACGCTTATATCTACCCATTTACATATGTACATACATATATACGAGGGCTGTACCAAAGGTACCCGAACTGACTTAAATGCGGGTAGTCTACAAAATAATAACTACTATCTTTCAACAAATTAAGCTTTAGATGTGATAGTCCTTTCTGAACAGCCATCCAAGTGAATGCTCTCAGTGAATTAGCGAATATGGAAAAATCGACACTTTCATCTGAAAGGTCTAAGCCAGCCGATATCAAAGCCGAGCTGGATTTCACTTTATGGGAGTCTGCTCCTTCGTTTACAACGGTTAAATATTTATTGGGTAGCCGAGTGCTAGCGGGGTCGCAACAGATGTCAACACCACAGTGGGCGACCAAGTGAGGTCACTACGCCATAAAATGTGAAGAAAATCCACATAATCATATTTGACTAGACCGTTTGCTGGAAGTGCCCGAGATAGCAGACATAGTAGGCATTTCCAAAAAGCTGTGCATTGCACAATAATTATAATTATAATATTACTAGCGGACCCGGCGAACTTCGTCCCGCCCAAAATTTTTATATATTTTATTGAAACTTTTTGGTCCAACATTTTTACCAACAATTCACGTTTACGAGTTTCATTGGCACATTCGTCTGCTAAGATTATGGTTTGGTGGTCATTTGCCGCTTTAAATAACTTAATAAATATCCGTGAAGAAGTTCTTGAAATTCTCCAGTTGTGCGGCATTTCATAGCACTGTTATTCGCAAAGCGAAATAAGTTTTTTCATCTTCACTCCCTGGCGGCAACAATGACCCGGTTCTATAGTGAATGTAGAAGCTTTACAGTATAGTAGGTGGCAATTTCAAAATGGGTGCGAATCATCGTTCTACAGAAATGCAGTATACATACGGTGACTATAAATATATTTTGAAAATGCAGGACAATTTTTCAAAAAATTTACTTACATATAATTGCGCAGTATAAAAATAACAAAAATATACTACATATATACATTCCTCGTCATTTGAATAGCGTACCCTTTTTTTGATTTTCTACCATACAAAGTATGCTGACAAAATTTTTATATGGAAGAAAATGCGCAGCACAGTCAACAAAAAATGTCGCCCCTATGTTTATTTTTTTTAATTTTCAAACATTTTTTAAATGGGATGTAGATGTAGAATATGCTATATTTTTATGAGAAGTTAATGAACATTAAACAAACAAAAGGAAAACTGTACCTACTAAGTATTAAAAGGATGCGCTATTCAAATAACGAAGAGAATATTTACAAAATTATAATAAGGCATATTACATACAGTGTTGCCACAAAATTTTTTTATTTTTTACCAAAATCACCGAAAAAAGTTACCAAATTCAACAAAAAATTACCAAATTAATTTTATGTGCAGAACTAATGTGCACAAACATACATAATTACGTTATTTTGGCAGTTAGGGCTCGACATGTATATTTGTACAGTTCTGCACATAAAATAAGTTTGGTAATTTTTAATAATATGTTAAAACTTGTCAAAATATGGTGCGGCTATAATTTTTTCGACCACTGTAAGGAAGAAGGAAAGCTTTCGACTCACACATAGACAGAGTGAAGTCCCCCCCTGAATTCCGTAGCTTTTTGAACGAGAACATACATATTTTCGTAGAATTCTACTCATATATATGGTTGCCGGGTACACCGGATAATTGATGGTAATTGCAAAGCTGACGAACTGACAGGGAAAGGTAAGTTCCCACGACAGTCGGGTCTACGTAACAGGAAAAACCCAGATTTATATCTGGCCAAGGACTGTCACTCCAGCAACACTCCCCAAAATCTCTTTGGGGAATATGTATGCTGTTACAACAACAACAACCACCCAAAACCTTCCAGGAAAGGGCACGGTGGATGTTCTTAGCAATAGCCACTTTCAAGTAGTTTGTTAAGGATCGCACCATTGTAGTAGCCAAGGAACGCTGGAACAATTTTCACCTTGCGAAACTTTCAGGATTACCTGGTATTTCTATAAAAGGAAACGCTTACGGGCCACTTACTAATGTGGAATCAAAGCCATGTAAGACCGAATCGAAAAAGTTACCAAATTAAAAAATAAATTACCAAATTACCAAACTACTAAATAAAGAAAAAAATTACCAAATTTGGTTAAAAATTACCAAAGCGGCAACGCTGATTACATATTACTTTACACGAAATATGAACCTCTGTAAAGTAAATTTTTTAGGCAAACTTTGAGTCGTTGAACACGAAGAAGTGTTTTCGAGATTTGTTCGAAAAACCTATTTTCAGTACTTTTTCAGTTATTCCTCAATATCTCATGAAACGACCAACAGTTCGAAAGGTATTGATGGGCTCTTTGCAAAAATATATATTTTTTGTGCAGATTATGTTCCGCAACATCTACATTTCTCATCAGATTTTCATTTACTGTAAAAAGAAAATGATTTAAAATCAAATTTCGATTTTGCTCGCTTGTAACTCTAACAATTTCCATCGAAATCGGCAAAGTAATATATTTTTGTAAGAGGACTGTAGGTCACTTATGTTGACTGGATAATTTTTTCATGAGATATTGACGAATAGGTCCGAAATGTACCCATAACACGTTTTTCAAAAAAATTACGAAAGCGCTTGTTTGAAAGGAAAATTGGCTTGGAAAATATTTTTTTTCTTAAGCGATTACCACAAAATTTGTAGAACAGTGTTATCGATATATTTGATGCTGGTCTTCAATTTCTCGTCATCCATTGTCAATAACCGTACAATATTTAGAACGCATTGACTAGTTGAACCTTCAAAACCAGCTTACCCTTATGTAGTTATCAATTAGTTATCGACACTGCTTTTATTTCGATAAGGAAAAGTTAATTATAAAATATCGAAGAAAATGCGGGACAAAGGCAGGACACTTAGAAAAAATC